AGTCGATTTTGGAGGCCCAGGCTGAAGAATGACACGGACAGCAGCCTCCTGGCTTGTAGTTCAGTTCAACTTGCTTGTGTTGGCGCTGTGGGACTTATAGAAATATTTTTGGAGGGGCCATGCCTTCAGACAGCCCACACTTGGCGCTTCAAGCAATGACGCGATTAAGAACCTGAGCCTAGGAATCCTGTGGGCCTCTATTCCAAACCGCGTTGCCCTGGACCAGCCTCTTCCCCTCCCTGAGCTTCGGTTTTCTCTGACAAAAGGAGCAATGCTGATAGTTTTGTTGTGAAGATTAAGTGAGAGAATTAATGTAGTGCACATGGTACTTAGAAAGGTCTAAATAAAGGGTTCGCTGCTCTTTAAAGAAGCCAGCAATAGAGAGGTGTCCCTCCCTCCCTTTATTTTTTACTTCTAATAGCAAACTATGTGGTGCATCCACAAGGCACCAGGCTCTGTGCTAGGTGCTGGGCATTTCACAATGAACCAAGTAGACACACATGGATGAAACAGAGACATTGGGTGAGTGATTGAGAAGTATGAAAGATTCGTCTGTCCCTGGGGTGGAACACAGTGGTCAGACAGAGCTGCCCTGAGGTAATGTCTTTAAAATGTGACCTTAGAGGGTGACCCCGAAGCCCAGAGGAGTCTCCCAGTCCCGCCCAGGCCGAGTTTTGGGGAGACATCTCCAAGCCTGCTGCCATTGGACTTGCCCTTTCACTCAGGTCTTCACCTCTGGGGTGAGGCTTAGGGGGTGGATGAGAAGAAAGTGAGGCAGTGACCATCAAATTTCTAGGTGGGGATTAGAAACCCTTTGCACAGTAAGCCTACCTGCAGGAAGCAAGGGACACATTAGAGAGGCCAGCTGACCAGGGGTCCAGGGACCAGTGATTACTGTGGGAGCTGAGGGCAAGCCCCCTTCCTGGGCTGGGCTTCCACCTCTCCGCCTGGGCAGTGGGCCCCACATACCTCCTGGGCTGGGGAACGGGCTCTCTCCCACCTTCACTGTCTGCTTGTACGTGATAACACCTTGAGCAGCGTGTGCTAATTAGATGTGGATGTGCGCACAATCGCCTGAGGCTTCCATCTTGCCAGGTGGGCACGCATCCCCTGGGATCAACCTCCAGTACTACACAGATGGTGTCAGCCTCAGACCGATTCTCACCATCTTTCACCATCTCTATCTTCCTGGAGAACCATGGGGAGAACCCACGGGAGAAAGTGTCGGGTACACCTGTGTCCTCCAGAGAGCACTGTTCCATGCCCTGTGTGGAGATACACAGAGGCGAGGGGACCTAAGCACATTGGAATCAATCGGGAGTGATGAGGCATCCAGTTCAAAGCAATACAGTTTTGAGGACCTCTGCTTACAAGGAACCATTCTAACAGAACAAAAGAGCTCTTAAATCGTGGTGGGGGTGTCATCTCATGTGAACCCCCTCCTTTTTCAGAGAAAGGAAATGAGGCCCAGCAGCATGGGGTGGGAATGGTGACTTCTCCCAGGCAAGTCCATCCAGCAAGCTGAGCCCAGATCTCTGGTTCCAGGGCCCTGGTCCTGGGCTGGTGATTCACAGTGTCGCCCCCCTACCTCCAGCCACTGAAATGTGACTACTGTTGATGAAGTTATTTTCATACAGAAATATGTCGCTGTCACCATTATTTCCCCCATCCCATTCCTATTGGAGTCAGTGATTTCCTTTCGCCACTCACACTTCAGGTAAATATTTCCCTCTGAACTTCTGAAGCCACCGCTTCAAGGTTCTCATTTCCCTTAATGTGTTTCCTCCTGGTTCCATTGAAAACGCTCTCTCTGCCTCCTGGGGCTCAGCCACCTCTTAGTCCTGGCTCCATGTGCTCAGTGTCACAGTCTGGCCTTTGCTTACTATTTCCTTCATCTCTCAACTGCAAACAGAGGTGCCCTGAGCCATGGTCCCAAGCCAGGAAGGTTCTGAACTGAGGGCACCCTACAGATGTGTAAACATTTTACCTTGCTAACCCTGCTAGCCGCCTTCCAAAGGCAACAGGAAAACCAGGGACTGAGAGCCCCTGGCAAAATAAAAACCTGCAGAGACAGAGAGGGGGTGAGGGGGAGAAAGGATCCCGTTTCAGATGTTCATTTCCTCATTAGAAGAATTTTCTGTTCAAGTGTAGGGGCTTTGTGTTAGCCAGGGAAGGAGGAGATGGTGAGTTTAGAGGTGAGTGGGGAACACAAGAGTGGGGGCTCTAGGAACCATTGTTCTCCTTGTTTCCCATAGTGGGGTAACTTATTCCAAATCTGGGGTCAGAGCCTTGGCTTGAGGGGTAGGGGCAGTGCTAGGCCCACTGGGATTTATGTCTTCTGAGTAGGCTTGCCAGGGGTTTGCAGGAGGACTGGTGCTTTTTTGAGCCTTCATCGTACTTGCTCTTGGTACATGGTCAAGATGCCCTCAGGGCACCATCTCTCTCTGACCTTTCTGTGTTTTGCTTCTTGTCATTTCCTACTTTTCGCCCTTGACATCATTTCCTAGACCCTCCAGCATCTGTAAAAGGAACTGCCATTTGGAGAGCCACCTTGTGCCACGTGTGGTGTATCTGCTATGGCTTTTCAGTATGACCATATACTTAAAGAGAGTTACAGATGAGGGAAGTAAGATCCACAGAGGTGGAGGGATTGGGCCCAAATGTACAGCTAGTAATTGCTATCATCAGAATGACCCCGAGTCCAGAGGCCCTACTCTTCCTACCCTACCGAGAACACACACTGTCTTCTAATCCTTTCTGTCCTCTAGCTGTGGAGACATAAACCAGTGCTTTTGATCCCACTAATCATTCATGTGCTCATTCATGAAACAATAAGTGCCTGCTCTAGGCAAGGCATGGAGTGAGCTGCTGACAGAACACAGATGGACCCAGACAGAGTCTTCCATCTCAAAAAAAGCATCCAGTCTGGGGTGGGAGAGGGTGTGGTAAGATGACTCAAAAACCAGAAAGCATGTGTCCAGATTCCTAAAAGTAAAATGAGTTCAGAGAAGAGAATGATCATTCCTTACAGGGCTATCAGAGAGAGCTTCTTGGAAGAGGTGGTTTCCGTTTTAGCCATTGGGAAACTTAGAATCACAGGTAAACAGAGACCAAGCATGTGAGGGGAATCTTCATTCAAGACCTTTCTTTACCAGGTAGAGAACCAAGATCCAGAAGAGATAGTTGAGGCTTCACCAAGGTTGCTCAGCCTGTGAGAAAAGGTTGACTTTGGGAGGACATTCTGGCCATTTCCTGAAGAGCTGTCAGGCAAAGTGTGGGAGGAGAGGTAGAGGTGAACTGCCTGGCGCCAAAACTGCCATCCGTGTCAGCAACTAATGGAGAGATTTACACAAATTCTAAGGCCCCAGTGCCCACAAAGGAGTAAAGACTGTGTGGACCTCCTTTATTGATTTTTCTGGAAGCTCTCCATGCTCATTTGATAAGTGCTAATGGTAGATGCACACTCAGTTAAAGTGACCACAACAATTTTCCAGCTAAAAGTAGGCCCTGTCCTAAATGAGCATCTTCTATTAATTCTTGCATCCGTCTCTTTATCCTCCCACCTGGCCTCAGGTGTCAGCCAACATTTAAAATATACTCTCACTTAGAAAGCCCTCTTCCCCACCCAGCAGCCTGTCTGTGCCATGGACACTGGGTGTATTCCAGAAAGGCTGGGGAGTGGGGGTTGATGAGTGGAAAGATTAGATCCAGAGAGAATCTGGTAAGTGACTTCTTGGGGTTCCCAGAGTAAGTCTAGAGATGTCCTGGCTTAAAACTTTCCCAAACACCTGATGAAACTTGTGCCATCCCCAGGCAGATGGTGCGGTTCAGATCCCCAGTGGCATTGATGAGGGAGAGGAAGGTGCTGAGGACCGTGAGTCCCAGAGTCTGATGGATCCAGGATCTACTTACCAACCAGTTGGCCTTAAACTTATCTCTTTATCTTCTTTAACTTTCATGTGCTCCTCTGTTAACTTCCATGTTCTCCGGGAGTATTACATAGATGAAAGGAATTAATGCACACATAGACCTTAGCATAATGCTTGACCTGCCACAGAGGCTTGGTAGATTGTACTTATTATTGTTAACTATCATGTAGGGGTCCCCAACACCTGCTTATGTAAGAGGCTGCTCGTTTTATTTTTTAAAATACTAACTTTTGTGTTAGAGGAGAACAAGCTGAATTGGGTCTCAGGAAATTGGTCCGTGACGCTGTGTAACCTGACAAATGCCTTCCACTCTCTGGGTCTCGAGACTCTAAGCTGTCGAGTGAAGGAGTTGAAAGTGATGATCTCTGAAAACATTTCCAGTTCAGCCAGTCAGCATTGCTGCCTTTCTTTGGCATAAGTGTCAGGTCTGGCCGGACTCCTGTTAGAGAGAGAAACAATGGGGTTCCTTGTCCCCACCTCTGCAGGCCGGCTTTCCCAACAATTCACCACCACCGAGCATTGGATGACTGGCTGCTCATGTCTGATGTGCACTCAAAGTTATGGCGACCGTAGGAGGAGCTGTCCTACTCAATGAACACCTTCTATTCATTATTATCTCCCTCTGTTTCTCCTCTGACCTCCCATATCATTTCATACTTAAAATACCCTATTAATTAGAAAGTCCTCTTTCCCACAGAACAGCTTTGCAGAGTCAAAGGTTTTTGGATTTGAATGATCATTATTGGTGGTGTTGTCATTGTTTTCTTTAGCTCAAGTACCCATTCTTCAAACAAAAATGTTTCTCTGTGTGTTCCATATGCAAAACCAATTAAAGTGCATCCACTTGGGTTACAGTTATGTTGAGAAGCCCCCAACCCAACTCCCCTGTCCTCTCATTTTCTCTAGCCCTTGCCTTGGCCTGGGGGTGGTCCCAGAGGCTCCAGTAGTAACTGCCAATTTGAAGATGATTGGTCTAGGACATCCTGATATAAGTTTTATCGCAACAAAATAACGTAACCCCCTTTCTTTCCATCTTTTATTTATTCATCTTTCTTTTTTGGGGCCACATAGGGCTGTATGACAAGTGTTCTTATACCTCACGTGACCGAGGATGGGTCGTGGGCATTCACACCATCAGTGACCAAGGCAACAGAGACCCACGCTACTTTTTCTCCTTGAAGACAGACCGGGCCCGGCAAGTGACCACCATCAATGCCCACCAAAGCTACCTCCCTGGCCAGTGGGTATTCCTAGCTGCCACCTACGATGGGCGGCTGATGAAGCTCTATGTGAATGGTGCCCAGGTGGCGACCTCTGGGGATCAGGTGGGTGGCATATTCAGCCCATTGACTCAGAAGTGTAAAGTGCTCATGTTGGGGGGCAGCACCCTGAACCACAACTACCGGGGCTACATCGAGCGCTTCAGTCTGTGGAAGGTGGCCAGGACCCAGCGGGAGGTCCTGCTGGACATGGAAACCCATGGCCTCCACACGCCTCTACCTCAGCTCCTCCTACAGGAGAACTGGGACAATGTGAAGCGCACCTGGTCCCCCATGAAGGACGGCCACAGCCCCCAGGTGGAGTTCAGCGGTGCCCACAGCTTCCTGCTGGACACCACTTTGGAGCCCCCTCTGTGCGGGCAGACGTTGTGCGACAACGCGCAAGTCATTGCCAGCTACAACCAGCTGCCGCGCTTCCGCCGGCCCAAGGTGGTGCGCTACCGCGTGGTCAACCTCCATGACGACAGCCACGAGAACCCCACGGTGAGCCGCCAGCAAATCGAGCTCCAGCACCAGCAGCTGGCCGAGGCCTTCCAGCCCTACAACATCTCCTGGGAGCTGGAGGTGCTAGAGGTGAGCAACTCCTCCCTGCGCCACCGCCTCATCCTGGCCAACTGCGACATCAGCAAGATCGGGGACGAGAACTGCGACCCCGAGTGCAACCACACGCTTACCGGCCATGACGGTGGGGACTGCCGCCACCTGCGCCACCCCGCCTTCATGAAGAAGCAGCAGAATGGGGTGTGTGACATGGACTGTAACTACGAACGGTTCAACTTCGACGGCGGGGAGTGTTGTGACCCCGACATCACAGATGTCACCCAGACATGCTTCGATCCTGACTCTCCACACAGGTAAGACCCGCTGGGCAGGTGGTGATGCCCAGCTGAGAGCTGAGCTTCCCCCATATTATAGGCATGTGCCCTGAGGCCCCTGGGAGTCCTGGGAATTTTCCAGCTCACACGGCAGCCTTGTGACTGAGACCAGGCTGTTACTCATGTGATCTTGGGGACCACATCAAGCATCATCCATTACAAAAATGTGTTGACTGCCTACTCTGGGATAAGAAGGAACGAACGGTCAGGACCCTGTCTTCTCAAAGAGCTCACAGTCTAAATTGGGTGGCATGAGCTGGGTACAAACAGCTGTTGAAGCGTACGTGGTAGAGTGGGCTAGAGTTGTGCTGTCTGTCCAGCCACCTGTGACTATTCACATGTAAATTAAGATGAAATAAAACTGAAAATCCAGTTCCTAAGCCACACTAGCTGCATTTCAAGTACACAGCCATATGGGGCTCCCGTACTGGACAGAGCGGTGTGGTCGGTTGGGCAGTGTGAATAAAGCCAGGGTCAGATCTCTGTGGTACTATTTCCTCACTTGGTGACCTCTTGGAAGCCACTTCCTCATCTGTGCAATGGGAATAATCATGGTGCTCACTCTGCTGAGCTGCTCTGAGGACTGAGAGAGGGCATGCAGGGGTGGGCAAAAGTAGGATCACAGTTGTTTGTATGGAAAAAGCATGCAGGCTGTGGTCATAATAACACAGAATCAGCTGTGTTTCACATACTCACAACCATAAACCTCCTGTGCCCACCCTTGCATAAAGCATCATCTCTTGTAGTGGCTAGCAGGTAATATGCGCTCATTGAGTGTATCTGTCATTCTTTGTATGATAAAGGGAGCAGGTGCTGTGGTCAGGGAGTGCCATGGGACATCACAGAGAAGACTCACTTGCAGCATGAGTGTTTGGGAAAGGTGCAGGTATAACTTGCACATCAGAGACTGGGTTGGGGGAGAAAGGAGGGCCCTTGGGGAGAGGCACTTCTTCCTGTCCTGCTGAGAAGAGGGTAGAAGTGTCTTCTATCTAATGCCCCCTTAGCCTCTACCTTATGCTACCAACTCTCACCAGGAACGCAAAGGAGAAACCCAAAGGTGATCCCCTGGGTGAGTTATATTCTACGTGAGACCAGGAAGAACTAGTTTCAAGCCAGAGAAACAGTCAGCATCCACTCTCCGATGTCCCAGATTCGGGCTGAACTTTTCCATTCTGTCCGCACACAGGACCCTGGACCTGCTGATAGCCCGGGTGCATTTGCAGACCTCGGCAGGTTTTCTGCTGACTCCCCTCTTTATGTCTCTCTCCAAAGAGCAAGGGCCGCCCATGTACAGACAGAATACCTATGTGCAAAGGAATGACGATGCCTGGCAGCAAGCCAGAGAGCACGTCAGCTCCGCCTCCTGGCACCAGGAGGGCCCTGGACTCTCACCTTGGCTCAACACATGAGCAGCCCATGTGGGAAGCAGCCGTGTTGTGTGGCCAGTTCCTTCCAGGTCATGATGCCCTTTCATCTCTGCTCTCATTTGGGCTTTGACAGAATTTGGCAAGGAAGACAAGACAGAGGTTAGTTAGCATTTGCATTTGATGGACAGGAAAAGAGAGGAATTTCGAGAGTGAAATGACTTGGTCAAGGTCATGGGTCAGGAAAGTCATTTGGTTAATTCACAAATGCAAGTCTTCCAAGATTAATGCAGTGTATGCTCTGCTGAGCTAGACTCCCAGAGTTTACCAGTGTACCCAGGCAGAGTGGGCATGGGGAAGAGCAAAGGGCCAGAAATAGGTAGAAGTTATTCACCCATTCATTCATCCATCCATTCTTGCATCCATTCTTGCATCTATGCAGCACATGTTTATTTAGCACCTACCAAGTCCCAAGAAGGTGGGTAGCCTGAACCCTCTTTTCCTGAAGGAAATTCAGGATTCAGAATGGTGAAGGGATTGACTCAAGTTCACTCAGCTACTCAATGGAGAGCTTGGATTTGAACTCAGATCCATGGACTCCAAAGCTCCCACTGAAGGAGGGTATTTTTAAGTCCAAGGAACAGTAAGTGGCAGAGTTAAAGGACAGAGTTGGCAGGCAGGACAGCTTCTCTAAAGCCTTGGGAGAAAACTGTTGAGTGGGATTGGGTCAGGACTGAGGGCAGCCAGCCTTTGTGGAGGGCACACTGTGCTGGTGTCGGGGACCGTGGGGCTCCAGGTCCCAGATACCTCACCATCAGCAGGCAGAACTGGCAGGCTCCAGTGGCCTCCTCTTTCCTAAGTCATGGGACTGCATGCCCAGCATGCCTGTGAGTGATCCTATGCCAGTGCTGTGACCACTCCCACCAGGGCCTGTTTCTTTGCTGGCTCAGAAAGTCGTGTGCCCTGGGTGAGCCCCTCCAGGGCATAGCTATCTCCTGGCAGGTTGCGGGTGACAGCATTCTGGCGGAATCAGGTCTCCTGTGTGCAGAGAGAAACCTGTGGAAGTTTGTAGAGAAATTTTTACTTTGTGACTTTTCAAAACAGAGGTGGGCAGAAGAAATGACAGAAGGAAAGAAGGAAGGAAGACGGGCACCTGTGATACAGTGAAAATTAGATTGACATTATGTAGATAATTTGTAATAAAGAGCTCAACTTAATTCTTGCCCAAGGTGATTCATTCTCATTCCCTCTCTTCTCTCTTCTCTCTCTTCTCTCTCTCTCTCTCTCTCTCTCTCTCTCTCTCTCTTTCTCTCTC